TCCCCCCAGAAGGCAATACACTATGTCCTACTTTCATGGGGACTGCTGTTCCAGGGAGGCTGGAAGCAGGTAGAATGGGAAATGAGACAGAGAAGGAGGACCAATCAGATATGAAGTTGCATCACTGAGTTTTGCAATTTAGGAACACTGCTTAATAACAAGCTTCTTGAGGTGTCAGTCTTGAATTTTTCCAGCGATTGTATGAATTTCTTCTCCAGGGAGTCCATCTTGGGGCAGCAGGGAGAAAGAATTTATCCTATGGCTCCCACATATCACAGTCAAAGGTTCATCCCATGGCAGGTATGTGGGAGCTGAGTGGGTCTTAAGGATCCCACCTGAGCAGCATCCAAGAGGCTGGGAAGGAAGTGGGAGCAGGTGTAATCTGCATGGGTTCAAATGAAGTCAGAGTTGGTTGATGTACTGGTGGCTAGAGCACAGCAGATCACCAGGGTCAGATGAGGCCAAGAAGACGTGAGCCAGTGCAAAAGAGGTAACTGATACAATAGTGATGGCACTGGCATGGGTTTGAGAAAGTACCTGATGGGAATATAAGTGGCTACTATCTTTCTGGATTGCTGCTTCTTTTAGACCCAGCAACTGTACTTTCAGGATTTTTCCTGAGTAAATGACTAGACAAGTACATGAAAATGCACAAGAAGCCTTGTATGTAACTGCCAGCAACTGAAAAGAGCCTGTAAACCCAAAAATTAGGGACTGTTTAAGCAAAGTATACATAAAGTATAATGGAATCCTCTGCAGTTATTTAAAATTATGAGGCAGTTCAAGAGATATTGATATGGATAGTCACTGAACATAGTTTAATGAAAAAAGCAGGAAAGAATTTTGGTAAAAAGAACTCTGAAAAACATTTATCTGGATATATGCTTTCATATAAATTCTAGAAGACTATTCTTAAGAATACTAACAATAATTATGCTTGGTAATTTTATATTTTTTCCTTTTAGATACATAAATGTTATATGTTTCACAAATGATCATAACAATTTAAATAAATTTTGTTTTAACAGACTGTCTGACAGAGAAAAAACTCACTTTTTGATATCTGAGCAATTTGAGACTTAAAATTCAAGTGACTGATAACTACTATCAAAGATAGACTCATTCTCCCATTCATTCAGTATTGACAAATATTCCAGAATAACGCCTACAAACAAGGCACCATCCCAGGTACTGGAGGCAGAGGAAGACTAATAAAATAGTTACAGATTGTTATAAGTGTTACAAAGAGAAAAAGGCAAGCTATTTTCCTAGAGTATCTTTTACATTTTAAAGGAAATAAATTTTAGTAGCATTAAATTTTTTGGAAGTCTTCATGTATTTCCTTCTTTTACAAAAGATTTTAGGTCAATTATAACATTCAATAAAATGGTAAAATATAAGAATTTTTAAATATTAGTTATAAAAATATAAAAATGCAAAAGAATCCAAATCAGGGGTCAGTAAGAATGTATATATGCAGACCACCTTTTGTTGTTATTATAGAGGCTAACGTGGATCTGAGTTTCTAAGCAGCAAGAAGTGAGAAGAAACACTTATATTGTTCTTGCTGTTAGAGAGGAATAGACAAGTCAGATTTTTAAGAGAGTTTAAGCTTTTCCTAGCACTTATATGCAAAATAAATTTCTCAAATGGGTTACACTGAGAATGACATCAGTAAATACTATTCTTCATACCAAACAAGAGAAACTCTGCTATTTCATAACTGAGAGGACAAGGGCTGTCCATTTGGCCTGTTGTCAGCACAGCACCTGGAACCAGAGTAGGCATTCAAGTATCTGTGGGAATAAGGAACAGCAGAATAGGATATTCTGAGCTGTGGCTACATAGATATCCATACCTACTGTTAAAGTGACATGTCTTGTTCATGATGTTAAAAAACAAACTGAAATCTTCTCAAGTACAAGGGCTATCCACCCACACCCTAAAAAAGAGACTGTAGGTCATCTGGAGGACTTCCCAGGGCTTGCAATTTGGTACCATTTCTCAGCTTATGTTATCTTGGGTTCTCCAAAGAAACAGAATTGATGGGATGGAGAATCATATCATATAGTATATCGCATATGTAAGATGTAAACATTACATACAGTTGACCCTTGAACAACACATTTGAACTGTACAGGTCTGCTTATTCACAGATTTTTTTTCAGTAAATATATTGGAAAATATTTTTAGAGATTTGCAAAAATTGGAAAAACATTTTCTTTCTTCTGGCTTTATTATAAGAATACAGTATATAATACATATATAAAGTATGTGTTAATTGACTTTATATTATTGGGAAGGCTTCCAGTCAACAGTAGGCTATCGGTAGTTACATTTTAGGTGAATCAAAAATTATAAGTGGATTTTTAACTGTACAGAGGGTGAGCACCCTCGACCTCTGTGTTGTTCAAGAGTCAGCTGTATATGGAGATTTATCATAAGGCTTATTTTATGATGGAGGCTGACAAGTCCCATGATCTGCAGGGTGAGTTGGCAAGCTGGAGACCCAGCAGAACTGATGTTGTTCTAGTCTGAGTCCAGAGGCCTGAGAACCAGAACCAGTGTTGTAGTTCTAGTGCAAAGGCCCTAGGGCTCAAGACCTAGGGAAAGCCATTATTTCAGTTTGAGTCTGAAGACAGGAAAAGCTAATGTCCCAGTTTGAAGGTAGTCAGGCAGGAGGAATTCTAGCTTACTCAAGCAAAAGTCAGCCCTTTTGTTCTATTCAGACCTTCCTTTAGCTGATTGTATGAGGCCCACCCACATTTGGAAGGGCAATCTGCTTTATTTAGTTTACCAATTTAAATGTTAATTAATCCAAAAACACTCTTTCAGAGATGCTCAGAATAATATTTGAGCAAATATCTTGGGCATCTGAAATCTTCCCCCTGGAAAAATCTCTCATAGTTAGCTTTCCTCCCCATTTCAATCTTTCATTTCACTCCTAGAATACTGCAATTGCTTTTATTTTTTTTTCTCAGTATATTTTTCTTTCTTTTTTTATTAAGGTATCCTTGATACACACTGTGATGATGGTTTCACAAGGAAAACCACATTCTCATTGGACATCAAAGGGCTGAACTATTTCTGGGAATGCTCGGCTTAAAACTGTGTCCAATAGGGAAGCTCTGCATTTGATGGTGGCCAACCAATCCAAACATCTCCTTCCATTTGAGGAGTAAAATTTAAAGGGGTGAGGAGCCCCAGCTCAGGTTCTAGTGTGAACAAGTGAGTTGTGGTTTCAATTCTCCACGAGGCTTTACATTCCAATGGTAGCTCATGCCACATTTCTGGGTGTTCTTGCAATAAACTCTCAACCAAAGATAATATGGGCATGCATTTTTCTTGCAGACTTTACCCACTTCATTCAAGTGTACTCCTCGTTGATCTCTAAGTGTACAAAGATGCTAGCTGAAGTACTGTGTGTAAATAGAAAAATAAAGACTTGCCCATTAATATGGGCTGTTCAAATAATCATACATCATCAATTGTAAGACACATCCCAATTTTGGAGACATATTAGTAAAATAGCCCACGGTGGTTATGTCATTGATTATCCTAATATGTGCAAAAATGTGCATTTTTAGAATTAAAGAGCTAAGGTATGACTCATAGAGTGGAATCTTTTGCACCTTGGACAGGTAAATGGCAGGAGATATGGAGAACACTTCCTTCAGAACAGGGATGGGAGAGAGCAGAGCAATGACTTCATGCATCGGCACTGTGAATGGAGATGTCTGTGATGCTACTTGTAACAATCTGTGCTTGAAAAGTAGGCTTTATTTTAAACCAGGTGGTGGACATACGGGTATGTGTTTTAGTATTTTTTACTGTTTTTGCATGATTAAAGTATGCTGTAATACACTTTTCTTTAAGTGGGCCTAGCAACCTATTTTACTGCCCTGTTCTTTGGGAGACCCTTTGTTCAATGACAGCTTAAAAATCAGTTCCATAAATAAAGGAGTTGAAGGGAATATTCAGTCTCTTATTTCCAAACATCATCTCAGCAACATCTGGTCCATGCACACATCCAACTGATAAACATCTACACACTAGATCATTACTGTTTTTCTCTTTCCCCATATCACAGACTTTGGCTCCATACTAGTTGCCTATAGCCTAGGTTTAAGCAAGGTCAAATTTGCAAAAAAGATATTTTGGTACAGTTATAAAAAAATCGTAAAAGTGAGCTGGTGAGGGAGAGGAGCATTTCAACAGAATTCCCTTAAATATGACCCTACTGGCTTTTTATAGTGGGTTGAACTTTTAGGTATGTTATTTCCTAAAACCTGTGTCAATATGAAGAGTACAACCTTTGGAACCAGATTAAACTAACAGAATCATGCTAGCTGTGTGGCACTGTCAAGCCACCTAACTTTGGAGGGCCTGTTTTCTCCTCTGTAAAATAGGGATAACAATAACTAGCTTATGGAGTGTTGTATAGATCAGAAATTTTAAAACAGTACTGTGCCTGTCACACAGTCGTTATCCAGTAACTGGTGATTACTCCAAGGGCACATGGAGTTTTGGGGTTTTTGCTTTGGTATTGGCCCTGAATTTGGTGCGTTGAGCCTCTTGCCTCTCCCTGCTCCTTCTGGAGCGCTCAAAAACTCTCATCAGTTATTTTCAGTTCAACACTTACTGTGTAGGTTACGAAGTCAAGTAAGCCAAGGCCTTTGAGTAGCTTACGACCAACAACATGGTAAAGAAATAACAATTTTCAGAGTTTTGAGTTTTGTTTTTGACTTAGTAGAGGAATTGGCACCGCTGGTGATGGTGCGCTTTTTACAGACTTGGGAACTCGGAGGGATGCAGCACCTGGTCAAAGGCCACGAGCACCTCGGCCTCCTGGGACCTCAGGGGATTCCTCAGACTTCCCGACAGGGGCTGGATGGCCAACCGTCCCCGTCCTTTTTAGGAAACTCCCTGGGACGAGCGAAAGAGGGGTCCCAAAGGACGCCTCCACCAGTGTTGTCGAGGCCTGTGGCGAAGGTACTTACCAGTGCGAAGTGCACCAGGGCGTCGTAGCAGAGCCAGTTGAGCACCCCGCGGTCAGCCGCCTCCCGCCTGCGGCCCAGGCGCAGGCCCAGGGCGCAGCCTGCGGTCAGCAGCGCGGCGCACAGCAGCAGCGAGCCACCCGCCAGGGCCCTCAGGCTGAGCACGGAGCCCGAACTTCCTCCACCCGGAGCCCTAGCTTACTGCTCGGGAGGCTGGGGTACCCTGGAGTGAGACGACGGGGAGGGGCCACGAGGGGGCGGGGCTGAAGGGACAACTCCCCTCCGTCCTTGTTTCTGGGTTGGACAGTGGAGGCCCCAGATTTTCTTGAGTCCAACTCGCTTAACTGCCTGGGCACCAAACCTGCTCCCTGCCCAAGCCCCAACGACTGGTAACAGAGCCACATCTTTTGATGCGGTTTGGCTTTTAGCAAGGTTCAAAACTTAAGCCACAAAGTGAAGTTCAGATGGCAGGAATTTTGCCAAGACTGGAGAGAATTTTAGGGAGCTAACAGACTGAGGAGAATCTTAGCAACAAAAGGTTGTTCTAATTAGGCCCTTGCAAATCTTGCACCAGAGGTGAGGGCCAAGGGTGTTTTCAGCCACTAGCAGATTTTTTTAAAGGCTATGTTTTATTTGCTGATTAATGGACACATGGCAATGTAATTTATTTTCAAGTGTTTTCTTGAAAGTCTGCTCATAAAAATCAGGAAAAGTTGGAAAGACTGTTAAATCACTGAAACTTTATATCTTACACAATCTTGTTTGTACAAAAATACAAGTTAAATATAAACAAAGCAATGATAAGTTTATGCAAATCTGTTTTATGTGATCTTCAGTTATATATAAAAGTTTCTTGGTTTGGTTATTTGTGAAAATATTCCAACACTTTTTTAAAGCCCTTGTGGCTTACTCTGACCCAAAGGGGGAGAGGAGCAATAGGCCGTATCAGTTTGGCACTAAATACTTTCACTTATTATGTTTTATGTAACTTCACAACCCTAAGAAGTCAGTGTGTGTTTTCCTATTGTATGATGCGAAAACAGGCTCATATTCAGGAACTTGCCCAGAGACTTGCCTGAGATTAAGGAACTGAAGTGAGACTGGGTGTCCCCAAGGCCTTTGCTTTTTGATCCTGCACTTTTGTTATCTTAATAGAGAACTTTATCCCTATCACCATGTTAACCTTTGCAAGCTCATCCTCTACTGCCTACCCCCTAAATGTTGGAACTCCACAACTCAGTCCTAAGCCCTGTTCCCACACCAAATGCTAGACACAGGTGGTCTCATCACACCCCTTGCTTTAATAAACACAGAAATAGATGGAGGATTCAAATCTCTAGCACATGCCTCCCCTCTGAGCTCCAGACCAGTACTTCCAATTACTCTACTTAAAGTCATTTGGATATCTAACATGATCCAAACTGAACTCATCACCCTCTTCTCCCTATGTCTTGAGTCTCGTCCAGTGTTCAGTATTTCGCTACCTCCATTCATCAGGACCTCTACACATCACTAAACCCAAACTGCAATTCTTCTCTTTATCAGCCAGTGGTTGTCATTAAACACGGCTCTTCTGTCAGCACTCTTGTGTGATGACTTACCAAAGAGTACTATCCTTTATAGGATTTACTAGGCTTTGGGGGCTGACCCCTACCATCTCTTTAGCCCCTTACCTGCCCCTAATCCTTCTCCCCATTATTATCCTTGCTCTAGTTATACTTGCTTTCTTTTCACTCCCTTGAACCCATGGTGCTTCCTATATGGCCTCTGTACATGGCTTCTCTACCAGAGAATTCCAGTGATTTCCAGATTCCAGTGAACCTGCCCAATTAATTCCTTTTTCTTCACCACCATCAGGTGTGAAGTTTGGAGAAAACTTCTCTGCCTGATTACAGAACCTTCTTCACAGAATTATTGGTACTTTTAATGTGCTCATACTAGTGGCTGGCACTTGGTAAAGGCTCATTGCCAGCCAATCATCACCTTCCCAAGTAGGCCAATTCCCTGTATCTCTGTGTGCTTCTTTTTCATCACATTTGTCATATAACTTGTACTTTTATTCTTGTGTAAGTATCCTGTGTCCTAGTTGAAAGTACCTGGCATGGGATAGGGGTGCTCAAGAAATATTTGCATGTTTCTAAAGGTTTAGTTAAATTCTTGTTTATAAAAGGCTTCAAAGAAGTGGTAAGGATATAAATAATGGAATCTGATCTTACTATGAGGAAAACACCAGAAATCAATGACATTTATAAATTCTTATATTTAGTTTTGAAAGTGTAAATGCCCAACTCCTGGATCAAAGAGAGCTAGTTGAAGGCAAAGGGAGCTGAGGCTGCTACTTGAACACACATCCAATGACACATCTAAAAACAACTGAAATAATCTCCACAATAATAGAATTAAGTGTCCAGATAATGGAACGCTTCCATTCCACTGCACCCAGAAACTGGTCACATCACATTCTATTCTTGGGGTCTTTAGAATGCATGAAGCTGAAGGGAGCCAGGTCGAGGAGTGATGTTATTATGAGGAAGGCTGAAACGCACAGGCTATTCAGGCTGAGAGAGCTGGTAAGAACTGATCTCTCTCTTCTGCTACCTGGGAATTACAAAAAGTACTCAGAATCAAGAATAGTTTATAAGTTCTTTAAAAGCACTGACTTTTGCTCTGCAGTGAGACCTAGTATCAACTAAAGCTACTGAATAAAGGAGAATAGCTCACTTGGAGTGCTTCATCCTTTGCTTCTCAAACTCTTGTCTCCTACTACTGCAGGAATGTTTCCATAAAATCTGCCTCAAATATCTGATTTTACCTTTAAAACACTATGCAAAATGTGTCCTTTACTCTGTAACTTAGGCATCTATTACCATAAAACTGTTTTACTTACCATCAAGTAAAACTGCTGTCCCATGAAGACGTGCCTTGTTTATCCTGTGGCTTCACACATTGCTTGACATTTTGGCCCCATGTATCTTGCGGTACCATAGCTTGAAATAAGAGAATTACTCAAGAGAATAGATAGCAATTTGTTAGGAATATTGTAGAAGAAATTTCCTGCAGGGGAATATATTCTTTATAGCAGGGCTCAGTCATAGTTCCCCTGCTTTTAATTTTTAATACACTTGTAAGTTTCCTGATGGAACTCTCACAATGTTTCAAAGATGTGTTTTTCAAACTATGCTGTTATTTTCTGGTCCAACCCCAGCTTTCCCAGAGAACTTAAAAGACCTTCCATTAAAAATGTCAAAAAAAACACTGCTACAGTAGGGCAGTGTTGAGATTATGGGCAGTCAACATATTTGATTGTTATACACACCTTGTTTTTTAGCCACAGGATAAACTTTAGAGGGTAACTAGTTACTCCATATTCCTTTCTATCTAAAAAGATAGATCTGGCCATCTATCTTTTTACAATAGATGGGGTTCAGAACTAGCAGGAGTTCACACAGATGGGTGATTTGGGAAATGCTCTTAGGTCTGGCTCTGATTTCTACTAAACTGAGAATAAAGAAAAGGCCTATTTCTGTCTCTTTATCTAAAGCACCTGATGAAAGCAGGGACTGTTTTATACAACAACAAGGCATGATGTAGGCTGTCTCATTTGAGTGAAGTTTTCTACAGGAATTGATTTAGGCCAATGGTTCACACCAGAGGCAATTTTGGATCCCAGAGGACATTTGGCAATGCCTGGAGACGTTTTTGGTTGTCAGGACTAGGGACTTGGGGGGGGTGGTGGAGAGGTGCTTCAGATAGGTAGTGGGTAGAGCCTAAGGGAGCTGCTAAACATCCTACAGTGTGCCAGAAAACACCCGACAACAGAGTCATCTAGTGCACAGTATCAGTAAGAAACTCTAATGTCAGCCCGAGATAGCTGAAGGATTTCACAGCAAATAGAGAAGCTAAGGGTGTGAGGAGGTTGCACTCTCACAATCCCTTTTCTCACACTTTCTCCTGATATAGCACTGTGGCCCACCCCAACCCACACACAGTGGTATGTTTAGATAGAGCTCTACCTATATACAGTACTTTTTGAGATTCATTCTACTGCTGCTCTTCAGTTATCTAATGAAGTACAACACTTAAAGGAAGAGTTCCTTTTAAAGTTTATAGAAAAATGAGTGGTACAGTACAGAGAGCACTCCTTGGGTTATCTGTCTTAAGATCTACAGCTTTATGTTCAGAAACTATACTCCCCTACTCCAAATAACTTTTATTAAAATCCCTCAGATCAACTACAGTTAAAAAAATTCATAACCACTGCTGTAAGACAATGGACATTCATCAATTTTCACTTGCAATAATTTAATAATCCCTTGAAAAGGACAACCCTTCTGAAGGAAATTATGGCAAGATCATATAGCACTATCACATTTATTTACTTATACAGCAACTTTCTTCAAAAAATAATTTGAAGTGGTATTATACAAAAGTAAAAATATTTGTATATTAAAAAGTTTAGCTGTTCTTTTGTTCTTTTAATTAATTGAATATTTCTTTTAGAACCACAACCTCTACCTAGCAGGTTAAAACTCCCAGGTTTACTTCAATTACTATTTTCCATAGTTAATTGTTAAATAGAGTTTTTTTTCCCCATGAATGTCAGAATCACACTATTTTCTCAAATGGCCTTTAAGTAAGTGATGGTATTTAAACCTGAGATGTACAGACAATGTCACGTGATAATGAAGGCAGAGATTGGAGTAATGCAGTTACACGCTGAGGAACACCAAGGATTACCAGGAAGGATCCTCACCTAAGGCCTGCGGAGAGAGCAGGTCCCAGCTATCACCTTGATTAAAAACTTCTAACCTCCAGAACTGTTTAACAGTAAGTTTGTTTTGTTTTAAACCATCTGGTTTGCGGTACTTTGCTATGACAGCTTACGAACCTAATAAAAGTTCTGGTAGTTATTTATCACAAAATATTCTTTAAAATCTAGCAGTGTTATTTATTGGTCATCCTGGTTGTTTAAAGTGGAAAGGAGGTATTAAAATACCATGAAAGAGTAATTTATGATTCACCTCCACAGTGGCTGATGTTTGAAAAATTATTCCAAATTTAAATTTAACCAAGCAGAAAACAAAACTAGGAAATTAAGATACTTTTAGAAATAAGTTCTTCCATGTTCTATCGTATTTGATAGCAGCTCTTTTTATTGGTTAAAAACCTAAGCCCATATACAAAATTAGGAACACATTTAGATGCCTCTTTTGAGAACGTTTTAGTATTTTTTAAACTGAGTTAAAAAAAAATAAAAACAATGCAATTTTCAACACTGTTTTGAAAACTTAAAAGTGCAGCAATATAGTTTCCTTTATCTATGAAATGGTGCAATCCCAATTCCAAACTGATAAGGTCACAACAAACTGAATCAAGCAAATGCATACGTAATGTCTGCACAACTTGATGCTAACGTTCACTTAATGTTAGTTTGCGCTTAAAACACAAGAGGAAATAGGAAACAGCACAGTAAAGGCCCAATTTAATCTCAGTGTGTGCAGTTTAAAATGTTAACTGGGAGTAAGTATGGAGAGTCCAGAAGAAACTATACTGGAAGGGGTACAATCCACAACATCATGAAGATTTGGACTTTTAAGGGTTCTACAGAAGTTTGTGACCTTAATAGCTTTGACTTTGTTATTCCTACTTTTAATGAACAACACACAGTTTCAAAAATTTAGATTACAGTGTCTAAACAGGATGCAGTTACCATATGAAGCTTTAACTCAAAATTTGGATAAAGAAAAAAGGCACAATGAACTTCAACTCAATTTTATGTGCACAAGAGTTGAAAAATCTGAGCCACCTTAAAGAGAAATTGATTCTAAAATTTATAAAACCTATAAATAATCAGAGGCCAAACCACTGTATTAAAACAGATTCTCTAGCAAGTAAAAATCTTGCAGTTTAAACATACACTTGTATCCACATTAGATACAAGACAAAACTCACTCTTTAAAGTGGCTCCACCTTGGCAGATACATATAGTTGTAATGAATGCACACCTGCTATGTGTCATTTATCAATGAAAACACCGCAGCTGATTCACAAAGCTCTGATGGCATCTGTTTCATCTTCATCACAGTAAATACACCCCCCATCAGTTAACTAAATTAGCTCAGATTTTCTATCCCTTCACATCAATGCATTGGGAAATTATACCCAGTAAACAACAGAAACAAAAACATTTTCGTGACAGCACAAATTATTCAGTTTACAAATGTTCAAATCCATATTCTTTCATTAATAACTGGGTCAACTTACCAAAAGCAATTACTTTATATAGTAATGCCAGATTTTGCAGAATTACTTAAAGATCACTGCAAATCAAGTTTATGTCAAATAACTGCAGATTATTCCCCATACAGACCCTTGTCTGAATCTTAATATGTGAACATGCTTTTAGAGTAGGATCTGAACTAGCTTTTCCCAACACCCAACGAATGAAGTTTTATGACACTTAAGTACTTGGTGATTCGTTGCCAACCACATTATCAAAAGCACTGGTTACTAAGTAAAAAATCTTTTAGGACTAAATTACAGTAAACATGAAAGCTCCACAGTCTAAACCCAATATAAATTAACCATATCCAATTAGCAATTTAAAACGAAAAATATTAACTCCTGAAAGCTGAAAGCAAGATTTTTTTTTAAAAC